GAGCAGCCCCGTACTTTTTATATGGGAGTCTTTTCCCGACTATATCATCCCTCCAATGTAATGGAAAAGTATAAGCTCGGTGCTCTCTGATTTAGCAGCCTTTTACTTACGGAGTGGTAAACGTATCGGCCGCTGTTTCGAGAAAAAAATAAACTACCAAAGCGTAAAATTAAAGCGTGCACCACAATACCGAAAGGTATCATATATGCCTGGTGATGGTAGTTGACCGTTCGTTGATCGTGTACTGTTTCAGAGCGATTGAAGTAAAAACCTTAACCTGTTTCCATGATTCTCCTTCCCTCTAGTCGTGCTAAAATAACGTGACCTTCAATCAATCCTTAACCAGCATTGCGTTGTAGGTTTGTACGCATTTGTAGGACAACCTTTCTAGAAAAGGTTGTATGGTAAATGTATAAAAAAACATACGCTGTAAAAACATACTTAAGACTTTGTTGAAAGGCATTTTAGTGAGGTTTTTCTGTAGTTTCATACAATTTATATTAGTTACGGTGACGTGAAATGGTATCGGAAGCTTTTGAAGGAGGTTGTAAATATCAGCTACTTCAGGTACCTGATATTTACAAACGTTTTTCATCATTGCCATTTTTAAATTCGAATTGTTTGTGGTCACTACCTGAGTTTTGTACAACAACCCAGCAATCTAACTGAATTTGTTTCAGTTTTAAAACAGCGAAAAGAATAAGTGAAAGTGGAATATCGTTTTTCTCAATGTTGTTGTTTCCTTGGCAGAAAAAGTTAGGAGAGATTAACTAACTCCTCGAATTAGCAAATCTTTCTCCTACTGTTTCTCGTACCAATTTCCGTTTACCTCGGTATAGGTGGTTCAGAAAATCGGGATTCCACTGAACTTTAAGTCAAGTAGAGTGTTCATAATAGGTTTAACAGAGACGAAGCTGCTCTGTTAGGTTGTACTGAACAAATTAACCTCATTAATTACCACAAATTTGTTATATTGACCATTAAAAATATGATATATCGCAGGTTTGTATATCGTTATTATTCTATGTGAACACGATAACAGCTACTTCAGAGACAAGCTCGTTCTGTTTTGATTATTTCACTTCTAGAACTCTACGAGAATTATTTCGTAATCCTTTTCAACTGAAGTTGTATTTTAAGACACAATACCTTCAGTACCCAGTTCTTCCGTGGGTGCGCATTATATTACTTAGAGATTGCCGGATAAAGTGTTTAAACTTCTTGGGCTGTCCACTTGAACTGAATCCACGTCACGGGATTGGCTACAACTTTTAGACCCTCCTGAGATTGTGATCCAAAAATTGGACTTGACAGCTATTACCTTGGAATAAGGCCATTTGAGGAATTAACTCTTCATCTTCAGTTTTGCTTCACTGCCAATATTTAGTCTTTAAGAGGTTTTTGTTTTAAGAAGAATTCTACATATATTTTTATCAACCTACACCACTTGTGTGTACGTGTTGGCCTAGCCGGTAATTTGTCAACAGCAACAGCCTCGCACACTGCTTATCGATGGGGAGGTTGGAGCCTGCGGTTTCAGCGGTCATTTTTTAGATCGGATTTTCCGTTTTTTGCCTTTGAAGCACCAGGTGTTTCCGTTTTAGTATCTATTGCGGTTTTTGGTATTTTTTTTTTTCTCTTTTAGC